TTAACTAAACGAGCCAAGCTTTAACTTAAGAGCAGCTTGGTTCTTTTAATAGTAGGTCAAGATAGATATCTATCTAGGTTAATTAATTAACAAAAAGAAGAATTGTTTGAAATGACAAGTAGCACCTTATGCTTATAATGTCATCTAACAAAGCTAAGTGTGGAAAAACACGGTCATCAAATATTAACTCTTTGCCTATATATACATATCCCCACCAAAACACAAACCTCACAAATCACAAACCAAAATTTATCAAATAAAAATAGAGATGAGCATAGAAGAAAAAAGCTCAGTCCAAAAGGCAGCTGATAAGTACAGGTCTTTCTTACATGAAGAGTCCAATAACACCGTTTGGAGACACGGCGGCCCGCCCACATATGACGCCGTCAACCAATTGTTCGAGCAAGGCCGGACCAAGGTACGATTTTTACCGTTAACGTTACTGCAAATAATTACCAAGTTTTTTTTACTGTTGGATCAAACACATAAACATATATGTGTTGATCTAACAGTAAAAAAAAAAAACTCGATGACTGCTTTGCAGTTACGGACAGTAAAATCTTCCCATATGCATATCTTTTATTTTTCCTTGATATATTATTAGTTTTAAAATTATTTTGGTTATTTTTTTTTTTAAAAATTATTTTGGTTATTTTTTTATTTTTATTTTTATTTTTATATTTTTGGTTATATAAGGAGTGGCCTAAAGGGTCTTTAGAGGAGGTGGTTCAAAATGCTATCAAATCATGGGAGATGGAGCTGTCCCACAAGACCCGTATTCAAGATTTCAGGACCATAAGTCCTCAAAAATTCAAGCTTATTGTTAATGGTAATTATATACTATATAGTTAATTTATCATTTGATTATGAAATAATCAAGATTTCATCAAGACCATTAAGTATTTTTTTAGTGATTAGGCAGACTTAATCATCGTACATATGAATAGATATACAAATTAACTTTGAGAAGTACGACGGTTGAAATCGCCTAACTATTAAATTATCTCGCACATGAATATGTGTATGTGTTTTTTCATTTAAGTTGTTGTTTTAAGTTGCTAATTGTTCTAACTGTGAGATATGACATCTAGAGATCTGATTGAACGCCCAAAGCAGATCGAGCGAGATATATATATTTTTGTAGAAATTCTTATGTGAGACGACCTAATAGTTAGTCGAACAGGCCTGTTATACTATGAAATATCATATTTTTTTTCTTTATCTTAGGCCTTTCTGTTTGAAAATATACAAATATCATTAAAAATGTATAATTGTTTAGCCATCACGTATTAAATGTATTTCACCTTAATTATTATTCAATGTATTTCACCCAATTATAAATGCAGTCTGAGGACTCAGTATGACAGTATATATCCAGTCCTGATTTGAATATCACATAAATAAAATACTAAAATGTCAGTCTTTATGATTTCGTCAGTGACTTGCATAAGTGAAACCAAGAAAAAAATAATAATTCATTAGAAGACCATATACTATATATAGTTGTTACAAGAACAAGTAAGCTTGACTTGGTGAGGATCGAGCTCTCGGCTCAACTCGTTTGGTAAACGAGCTAAACTCCTGCTTTGTTTAGCATATTCCTTTAGTTAACGAGTCGAGCCAAGTTTGATAAATAGAGTTTTTTACACGATTTTCTGAATTTTAGTATAATTTAGATTGTTTAGGTTAAATTTGTGTTTGTTAACAAGTCAAACTCGAATTTGTTTATCGTCTCGTTAACTTAATGTGGAGTCGAATATCGGTATTGTACATATCTTCAACTAATTCCCATCCTAGCAAGTCTCAAACTAAAAGTCATGAGCATGAACTCATCAAAGTCATACATCGTTATTAATAGTCAATGACATAATATACTACTATTGCACACCATACTCTATAATATCTCATCCTAAGGTCCACAATTATGAACAAAAATTAAATTGGTCACAAATTGATACAACCAATATTATTTATATCCAAATGTCTTTGAAAAAAAAAATAGAATGTTAAAAAAAAAATATTAAAGAATCATGACTAATAAAAATTACCGTTTGATGTGACTATATCCTTAGTAACATAATTCAAATGTCAGGACGAAAGGGACTCTCGGCCGAGGAAACACTTAGGCTCGGAAGCTACAACGCATTGTTAAAAAGCTCGATGCCCGATGAATTCAAGTACTATAAAGCCGATGAGGAGAGTTTCGAGTCGTCACACGACCTTTTCCGGTCGGCCCTTCCTCGTGGGTTCGCGTGGGAGGTTGTGGCCGTGTACTCAGGCCCGCCAGTGATCTCCTTCAAGTTCAGGCATTGGGGCTATTTTGAAGGGGCTTTCAAGGGCCATGGCCCAACTGGGGAATTGGTCCAGTTTTATGGTGTTGGGGTTCTCAAAGTAATAGGAGCACATATGTTTTATATTTTAATTGATAATTATGTATATAATAGCAATTAATTTTTGTAGATAATTATTTGTAATAATGTTAGTTTCACAATTTTGGCAGGTGGATGAGTCCCTGAGGGCTGAGGATGTGGAGATTTACTATGATCCAGCAGAGCTTTTTGCTGGGCTGCTTAAAGGGCCTTCTCTTGCTGGACAGGCTTCTGGTGCTCCATCTGATATAATGTGCCCTTTCATGGCCCAATAAATCTTTTCCTGGCCCAATAACTTCGTTTGTCAAATAAAGATTGTTATTGTTGTTGTTGTTGTGTTTTGTCATAGTTAAGTTTGAAATCGTTATACATAGGTTCTGAAATGTTTTCGAACTTTATATTAATATAAATGTCTTGATTCCAGATTAGTCGGTTCCCTTGTGGATCCAGAAATCGGAAGGTCCTTGTACCAAAAAAAAAAAAAATATATATATATATATATAAATGCCTTGATTAAATTAATTTTGGAATGATATATATTTTGATTGAAAAACTAAATAGATTGAATACTAATTCTATATTACATATCGGTGACTGCAATTGGTTTAACCGTTAGATCAACACACACTCATATGAATGAGTGTTAATCCAACAATAAAAAATCTGGTGACTCTCACTAATCTAGCAATTTACCATATATATACCCATCAATAAACATTATTTTTTTCCAATCAATCCTTACATTACAATTTATACATTCTCTTTCCAACTTCAATTTCTCTTTATATTTACTTAAACCATTATATTTCATACTGGGAAAATGGTTCATTCAAGCACTTTTGTTATTTGCTCTATTTATTGTAGCTATAATATTTCTAGCTCAAACTCATGTTATGAAGCTGGTAAAGTACCAATTAGTGCAAATGTTGGTATGTATAGTCTACCCCAAGTCCTGGTAATTAATAATTGAATTACATTCGTGAAGAATTTGCAATGCTCATTATATAAACATGTATTTTTAATATATTGGGGGAGACAGAGGCCTTGGGTGCGAACCCTTATCGAGTCAAGCTCGTTAGCTAGCCAATAAACGAACTCTTCATGTTTGGCCCGTTTTATGCTAAAAGTTTAAGAAAGCGTAAAAACTCTTATTTTGAATTCTTTCGAAACTTAAACGAGCTCGACTTCGGCTATTTGAGCGAGACTGACTCTCACGCAGACTCAACCAGATTGCAATTACGAAACATATTGAATTTTTTTTTCAGAATTTTGCATTGAAGTTTTGTCCCAAGGGAATTGTGATTATCATATTAAAAAAAAAAAA